AGCGTTGGTATGGTTACGGGCCCCAGGTCTAGGTCCATGGTCGACCAGTCAGGGTATCTCCTCCTGCAATGAATTGCTGTCTCTCCGTAGATGGCATCAGCTTTGAATCGCAGCTGCGGGAGCCTGGTGACATGTGGTATCAGTAACTAGTGTTCCCCATGAACCTGTTTGAATCGAGCCCAGCCACTGGCTCGAGCTGGCTCGGCTTGATAGGGAATGGACTCGACCCACTCGAGATCAAACGCAGGGCTCGACCCTCCCAAGGTAGCCTCGGGAACTAAGGCGCGAGCCTGGTTTGTTAGTCGCGACATGGTATCACTGGTTAAAATTATTTCCAAGGGGATCCGTATACGCAGAGGATATTTTCCAGATATTAAATGTGAAAAAAAAACTCCAGACCCTACTACGAACATATCTGTTTTCTGCTCTGTCAGCCCCCTAGTTTGTGTAAATCAAGTGAGGACTGTATGTTTGTGGAAAATCTAATTGACTCGCTCGGCTTAGGATTCCTCATTGCCCTCGAACATACCTGGTAATCAGCGTCTCATGGGTCCAGGCAAATTTAGGAGTAAAGTAGGGCACATTCTGGGCTCCCCGGTCAGAGTCAGGCTAATAAAAAACGCGCGCAAACGGCTTCCGGGGTCTCGGGAAATTTGAAATTATCAAACTTTTTTCTCCCTGGCCTCCTAGGACTCCACGGCTGATAAAAGGTAATATTAGAGATATTAGTCTCTTTCCTGCTTTCTTGTGCCAATTTAAAATATAAAATAGATCTTTTGAATAAGCTGGATCTTAGCTCGAGAACTGCTTGAGCCAAAGTTTAGATGAGCTCGAGTCGGCTCGGCTCTGGGATATGTCGGCTCGCGAAGCTTGAACCAAAAGCATGAGCTGAGCGTCCAAGCCTGTCGGCTCGCGGGAAAAACTGTCAGTAATCGTAATCCGTACTGATTGCTTGCGCTTCCAATAACCCATAATACATCGTACATTTCAGAAGCACCCCTGCGGAAGCACTTTATGATATCTGTTCTCAGCGCGTAGTTCATTCCTTTCTGAATCCAGTCATTTTCCGGTTTATTTTTTTAGCAATATTTCTCGGGACCGATCCGGCTTACCATCACTTCATGGAAATATGCGTTAGTTGTCCACTAAAACAACTCGCCAGATTGCACGGAACCTAGCGTCTTCTAGTGAAGGCAGTCTGTAATACCTAAATATTTGTCACCCATACCCAGGTTGCAGACAGAGCTGTCCACAGGGCATGGCACCTAACATGACTCTGCTTAACGAATCTTGCTTCAATGATGGCCCCGCTAAGAAGTGCAGTGATAGTGTATTCTGTTCCCAACACTCCATAGAGGCATGGTGCAAAAAGGTATGGTGGTGACAGAAAGCGAGTTGTCTCGGCAGACTGTGAGATGACACGGCACAGGGAGAGCTAGTTTGGCTTTCTACTGTAGTTGACCAGAAGCACCTTCTCGCGGCAAAATATTCGCAAGGCTCGCTAAGGTTATCACTTCTCTGACCCCGCTCACAATCTACCTGCAAGGACCATCTTACCTTTCTCACTTTGGACAAACATACCCCTATCCTACAAGCTGGTCTCTCGGGAAAAAGCTATACCCTCATCCTCCCGTTTCATTGCTCTAAACAAGCAAGAACCCTCCTATCCTGTAAGTCTACCTGTGTTAACGAAATACACTCTTATCCTGCAAGTTTCACCTGCTCAAAAAAAGATATCTTAGCACTGAAAGTTGCCCCCGGGCCTGCTGAGGGAACCTAGCTTTGCCCAGCTTGTTTCTCCCACTGGAGAAAACAGACCCATATCTGGCAAGTTTGTCTCTCTTGAACAAACAATCCCCTCATCGCTGTTTCCTTCTCGGAAAAAAAATCCTAGGACCCGTAACATGTGAGTGTCTCCCTTTGGAAGACGCACATCCTTATCTCCCGTCTCACTTACTAAAAAAAATAGTACCCTCAGCCTAGAAGTCGCACCCCCCCTCGTGAAACACACCATTGCCTACCTGGTTTCTCCTACTGGGAAAAAATACCCTTATTCTCCGGGAACTACAACGCTACATAACCCTAAATTTCCTCAATTAGTATCTATAGTACTCGAGACCCCTGAAAACTGCCAGTACAAAATGCCCGGAAAGACAGCGCTAAAATGCACTATGAGACAGCACTAAAATGCACTATGAGACAAATGCCTGGAAAGACAGCACTAAGCTAGGATGGGTTGAAGGAGATAAAGGACCGGGGGGGAAGAAAATGAAATGAGAGTGGAAAAAAAAAAAGGAAAGGGTAAGGGGCGGGTGGCGAGGGGAGAATAAAGTTACCCTACCTTAATGAAATATGAAAAGGTTACCCTGCCTGAGCTCAGATAATTATCCTACAGGTGCCATAAGTAGTTACCCTACCTAAAGCAACTTTAATTCATACTGGAAAATAGCTACAGAATCTCTTTGTGATTATATTGTGTGAATCAAGTCCTTCTTATCCAGTTAATTTGTAGTTGACATATAGAGATTTTCTGTCTGATAACTATAAGTATGTACTGGAACATAATATGAGAATTCTGAGTCTATCAGATAAGCAAATATACAGCCTTAGACTATATCTCCTTCAAAAGATACTTTCTGATATGGGTAAAGGATTAAATTACTTTGGATTGCTATTGCCTTTATCTGACTTAAACTATAGTCTTTATAGTCAACATCAGAATAGGTTACTACATGATCAAATATCATGAAATCATGTAGAGTTAAATGTGATGCTTTAGAGATGTGAACCAAAGTGAAATTCTACACAGAGACATACATTTCAAGTAGTCCTAGGGTTAGTGGATATTAATACCATGACTGGAGATATACTTTTCCTTGATGGGGTAGGAGGAATAGGAAAGACATTTTTAAAGAACACAATTCTTGCAAAAATATGAAGTCAACACAAGATTGTTTTAGTAGTAGTATCTAGCAGCATTGTAGAAATACTACTGCAAGAAAGATAAACAACACATTAAACTTTCTGAATTCTCTTGATTTTAGACAATTAGTCTATTTGTTCAATCAATCATAGATTTCCTTAGGCTAATGTTTTCTTTAAACCTCACTTATTATTAAGGATAAAGCAACCATGTAACATAAATATACATATGATATAGTTTCAAGAATGTTGTCAGATATTCATCAAGACTCTCTCTACTTTGGGGGAATAACTATGCTTTTTGCTGGAGATTTTAGAAAATGTCTTCCAGTTGTTTCTAGTGGTTCTTGATCATAAATTATCAACTCTACTTTGATGAGTTCTACCTACTGGTCTCTGATTCAAGTTCTATAGTTAAAGGAAAACATTCATCTGATATACACCAGTATAACTCTCAAAGCATATATAATAGAAAAAGAATAGGCTAATTATATTCTCTAAATTGGAACTGCAACCGAGCGTTCTCCTGTTCTCAATCATATTACCCTTCATCTAACAATACTTCTTTCAGATAATAGTATACAAGGTTTGATGAAGGAAATATACCTACTTAGTCTTTTTGCCTCTTCTTTAAATCTGTCAATTGAGGTTTTAGCTGAAAGAGCCATTCTAGCTGCATGAAATATTAATGTGGACCATATCAAAAATAAACTCCTTATTCACCAAACCAGTGATTCAGCTATCAAGGCCTATCTTAATACCAATACTGTTTCTGATAAGAAACAAACAGTATATTCTTCTGAGTATCTTAATATATTACAACCTTCTGGAGTTCTACCACATTTATTATATTTAAAAGTCAGTATACCAGTTATGCTTTTACAAAATTTGAATCCATGTCAAGGTCTTTGTAATAATACAATACTTAAGATCACAGGTCTTTTATGAAATCTGATATATAGTAAGTTTTATTAATTCGTTTGATTTTTTCTAATTGAGTATATTACTATTAAGGTTATACTACTATGATTTTGAATTTTGTACTTTACAGGTATTATAATGATAGGCACAAAGGCTGGAACTGAAGTCATAGTTCCTTGAATTCACATCTCTTTTGAAGAATTACAAGATATTTCCAGAAACCTGATTTGACTTCAGTTTCCAATTTGGTTAGTATATGCAATAACTATGAATGAGGTACGGGGACAGTTATTAGGACATATTGGGATTAGTTTATGTGAGAAGGTATTTGGACATAAGCAATTGTATATTGCATTATCAAGAGCAACAAGTAGTGAAAGGATCAAAGTATTCATATCTGATTCAGTATATGAAGGAGAAAAGTTGTGTAAAAATGTTGTGTATTCTGAGGTTTTTCATATATAAGTTTTTCTATTTGTTTTTTTTACTATCTCTGCCTTTTCTACTTTATGATTTGATTGTTTCCTTTTATATTCTGTTTACTTTTATCTCCTACCTTTCTTATTTGTCCTCACTGAATTTGTTCATTCATCTTTCCACATGACCTTATTTTCTCTTTTACTTTGATTATTTCTCAAGACTTTAATTTTTCTTATTAATGTTTTTTTTTTCAATATATATCTACTATTAAATTTTGTAGGTAAATTGCTATTATCAAATATAGTAATTATTTAAAACTACACTCCATTTCGGCCCCGTGTGGTAACCACACCGGTGACTATCTCGTGAGGTAAGATAGTCTAACTCCCACGAGCTGCTTTTAGTCAAGTGGCTATGATACTGTATTCTGTTAATTAAGCAAGTCACGGTCAGATTCAGTAGCCATCTCTAGAAAGTTTAGTACCGCAACCAGTGCACACTGCAACTGTCTATATAGACCATGAATCGTATGTACCAAGAATTTGATCCCCAGCTTCCCATGTTGACCTCTTACACCAGCTCTCGGTACTTATGCATTTGGAGTTGAGAACACTACGCACCTTGAGAACACAGACTCAAGCATCAACATCAGGCACAACTATCCAGTCATTCTTGCCCTTCCATCCTCCCATAACATTGACCTTCCTCTGGGTATGACCTCGTTACCCAGCAGTGTGATGGTTCCTCCCTCCCCTATCTCCTCTCAGGAGGCCAACCACTACTACCACGGTCTGTACTCAAGGCCAGTTCTAGTAGCCCGTACAGGAACGAATCTTTGGAAGCCTCCTGTGAGCCCGCCGGGCTACTTCCTACGAAAGGTACTTCTTAGTGTTGGCAATCACCCCCTTACCGAACTCTGGGAGGCGAACCTTGCTCTACAAATTCATAAAATCCTGGACTCTAAGGAGATAAAGTGGACGAGTACGGATGTGGTACGTATTGGTGTGGTTGGAGAATCAATCACACCGGTAATCATCTGGATTGGTGTCCAGCCTGATACACTCTCCTGGGAAGCGGGCTACTCGGTTGCTATAGAGTGCAAGGAGCTTCTTGTGGCAAACCGGATACTGGATGTTGAGGTCGAAATCCGTGAGTCTGTTGTGACTCGGTATTCTGATCCTACCCTTGCCAAGCCTGCTGCCTTGGGTGACCCCACTGCGGAGCTCCTCGAGCCGCTTACCTCCACCCTTGGCCTTTCCATCTGCAATATGCGTAGCGAATGGGCTGAGGGCACTGGGGGCTTTTACGTTCTTGATAAGACTAAAGACTCTAAGCTCTATCTGGTTAAAGCTCGCCATGTTGTGCTCCCATCTCGCCCTGATAGTTAGGTCTATGAGCGCAAGCGCTCCAGCCAGCCTTATGACAAAATTGCCCTTTTTAGTAGTACTGCCTTCATCAACTATCTTGAACAGATTACCACCGCGATTGAGGACAAAATTATGGTCCAAACGTTTCAAACGAGAGTTGTTGAGTCTCTGAGGGGGTCAGAGGGAATCGATTCTGGTCCAGCGACAAGGAATCTAGCATCCCAGGAGGCTCTCCTACAAGAGGCTACAGAGGCGATCGTGGCTATGAAGATACTTTACAAAAATGTAGTAAAGAGTTGGGACACCATTGAGAATCGGATTATCGGGCACCTCTGGTTCTCCCCCCCTCTCCGATATGGCGCTGGTTCAGCTGGGTATACCCAGGACTATGCTGTGATCGAGCTCGACAAATCTAAGATTAATAATGCCACTTTTACTGGCAATGCGATTGACCTAGGGACTCAGATGACCTCTGTTGAGTTCACACGTCTGATGTTTCCTAATCCTACGGGCCGGCATAACTTCAAATACCCACTCAACCGTCTCTTCCCAGTGCGAGGTATGGTCCCGGATGACGAGATGCGCCGCCCACCCATGGTGGACCACGAGGGAAATCCATGCCTTATTGTCATGAAGCGCGGAATCAGTACTGGACTCACCATCGGCCGGGCGACCAATCTTGTTTCTTACACCCGCCATTACGGTGCAGATGGCAGTGAAGCCACCTCCACTGAATGGGCAATTTTAAATTATGATGACAACCATGGCCCCTTCTCCAGGAGTGGTGACTCGGGATCTGCTGTTATTGACTGCCTTGGGCGCCTCGGTGGGCTTCTCACAGGTGGTAGTGGCCTCACTGACCGCACTGATGTTACCTATGCTACCCCCGTTTCCTTTATTTTTGAAAGCCTTAAGGCTCACAACTACCATGTTACCCTTGACGTAACCACTGCTACCTCGCCCTCCTGTTGATGATCCAGGCACATCATGAACTTCATGAATAAGTTCTAGAATTGATCACATGGAGCTTGGCGCGGTGGTGACATGTAAGAGTCTATTTCGTTTATCCTATATTTTTGCTCCCATTCCGTGGACTAAAATCTGATCTAAATAGTTTTGTAGGGGGATAGCAGACACAAAAGCGGAGGATAAGAAGCAGGTTGCAAAGTTATTGGGAAAACTGGAGGGGCTGGGGGTAACGGGAATGGGGTTAATTGTCCGGACTAGGGAATGAGGTCGGGGATTTCAACAGCAAGCATATGAGGAAGGAGGAGAGGGATGTGTAAAGTAAGGTGACCTACCGCATTACCTGGCGACACTGGAAATGGTGCTATCGCCGAAGGGGATAAAGTGGCGAGTTGCCATCATGGTCGCACTACACACATTCAGTGATAGTGTAGGAACTAAGAAAATTCTCATGACGACCCCAATGACTTAAGTACAACCAGGCGAGTGCGGAACCTATTTTTTCAATTCAACGATGGAAGAGTGAGTCTTGTAATTTAACTCCGCCAGCAGATATTGTTACTCGCTTTCCCTTTTTTATATTCGCTAAGCCCCCCTCATGTCACACTTAGGCCACATGGCAACACTAGACCTTAGCATGATTTCCAGTATCGCCAGATAATGCGGTACTTGGTACTAAGATCGGGTATTACCGGTACTCTGCGAGGGAAGCATGAGGATATTCGGGTGCGAAGAACGTAACTACTCGTAGAGACCGGGGAGTTAGAGGTAGTACGGTACGTAGAGGATATGTTCCAGATATTAAATGTGAAAAAAAAACTTCAACCCCACAACGAACATATCAGTTTTCCGCTTAGTGAGCCACCTAGTTTCTATAAATCAATTGAGGACTATATGTTTGTGGAAAATCTAATTGACTCGCTCGACTTAGGATTCCTCATTGCCCTCGAACATACCTGGTAATCAGCCTCTCATGGGTCCAGGCAAATTTAGGAGTAAAGTAGGACACATGCTGGGCTCCCCGGTCAGAGTCAGGCCAACAAAAAACGCGTGCAAACGGCTTCCGGGGTATCGGAAACTCAAAATCACCAACCCCCCCCCCTGGCCTCCCAGGACTCTACGGCTCATACAAGGTCCTATTAGAGATATTAGTCTCTTTGCCGCTTTCTCGTCCCTATTTGAAATGAAAAATAGATCGTTTGAGTAAGCTGGATCTTGGCTCGAGAACTGCTTGAGCCAAAGTTTAGGTGAGCTTGAGTCGGCTCGGCTCTGGGATATGTCGGCTCGTGGGGAACACTCTCAGTAATCGTAATCCGTAATGATTGCTTGCGCTTCCAATAACCCATAATACATCGTACATTTCAGGAGCACCCCTGCGGAGGCACTTTATGATATCTGTCCTCAGCGCGTAGTTGATTCCTTTCTAAATCCAGTCATTTTCCGGTTTTTTTTTTACTAATATTTCTCGTCACGGACCCGGCTTACCATCACTTCATGGCAATATGCGTTAGTTGTCCACTAAAACAACTCGCCAGATTGCACGGAAGCTAGTGTCTTCTAGTAAAAACATTCTCATACCTAAATATTTGTCACACCCATACCCAGGTTGCAGACAGAGCTGTCCACAGGGGATGGCACCCGACACGACCTCGCCCAAAGAATCTTGCTTCAACGATGGCCCCGCCAAGAAGTGCACTGACTGTGTACCCTGTTCCCAACACTCCACGGAAGCGTGGTGCAAACAGGTATGGTGGTGACAGAGAGCGAGTTGTCTCGGCAGACTGTGAGATGACACGGCACAGGGAGAGCTAGTTTGGCTTTCTACTGCAGTTGGCCCGAAGCACCTTCTTGCAGCAAAATATTCTCAAGGCTCGCTAAGGTTATCACTTCTCTGACCCCGCTCACAATCTACCTGCAAGGACCATCTTACCTTTCTCACTTTGGACAAACATACCCCTATCCTACAAGCTGGTCTCTCGGGAAAAAGCTATACCCTCATCCTCCCGTTTCATTGCTCTAAACAAGCAAGAACCCTCCTATCCTGTAAGTCTACCTGTGTTAACGAAATACACTCTTATCCTGCAAGTTTCACCTGCTCAAAAAAAGATATCTTAGCACTGAAAGTTGCCCCCGGGCCTGCTGAGGGAACCTAGCTTTGCCCAGCTTGTTTCTCCCACTGGAGAAAACAGACCCATATCTGGCAAGTTTGTCTCTCTTGAACAAACAATCCCCTCATCGCTGTTTCCTTCTCGGAAAAAAAATCCTAGGACCCGTAACATGTGAGTGTCTCCCTTTGGAAGACGCACATCCTTATCTCCCGTCTCTTTTACTAAAAAAAACAGTACCCTCAGCCTAGAAGTCGCACCCCCTCGCGAAACGCACCATTGCCCGCCTGGTTTCTCCCGCTGGGAAAAAATACCCTTATTCTCCGGGAACTATCACGCTACATAACCCTAAATTTCCTCAATGAGGTAAGATAGTCTAACTCACAAGAGCTGCTTTTAGTCAAGTGGCTATGATACTGTACCTGTATTCTGTTAATTAAGCAAGTCACGGTCAGGTTCAGCGGCCATCTCTAGAAAGTTTAGTACCCCAACCATTGCACACTGCAACTGTCTATATAGACCATGGATTGTATGTACCAAGAATTTGATTCTTAGCTTCCCGTGTTGACCTCTTACACCAGCCCTCGGTACCTATGCGTTTGGAGTTGAGCACACTACCTACATTGAGAACGCAGACTCAAGTATCAACATCAGGCGCTACTATCCAGTCATTCTTGCCCTTCCATCCTCCCATAACATCGACCTTCCACTGGGTATGACCTCGTTACCCAGCAGTGTGATGGTTCCTCCCCTCCCTATCTCCTCTCAGGCGGCCAACCAGTACTACCACGGTCTGTACTCAAGGTCAGTTCTGGTAGCCCATATGGGAACGAATCTTTAGAAGCCTCCTTTAAGCCCGCCAGACTACTTCCTACGAAAGGTACTTCTTAGTGTTGGCAATCACCCCCTTACCGAAATCTGGGAGGCCAACCTTGCTAGTAGACCAGCAGGAAAATCCATGCCTTATTGTTATGAAGTGTGGAATCAGTACTGGACTCACCATTGGCCGTGCGACCAATGTTGTTTCTTACACCCGCCATTAGAGTGCAGATGGCAGTGAAGCCACCTCGGCTGAATGGGCAATTTTAAACTATGATGACAACCATGGCCCCTTCTCTAGGAGTGGTGACTCTGGATCTGCTGTTATTGACTGCCTTGGGCGCCTCGGTGGGCTTCTCACGGGTGGTAGTGGCCTTACCGACCGCACTGATGTTACCTACGCCACCCCAATTTCCTTTATTTTCCAGAGCCTAAAGGATTATAACTACAACGTTATCCTCAATACAACTACTACTACCGTCCTACTCTTGATGAACCAGGTGTACAATGGGCAGTGTTCTCAACCGTCCGGGGCCCCCGTAGGGCCCGACGGAGGGACTGCCAAGAGCCCGGGACGGGACGAGACGGCAACATATAGTCCGTCCTCGTCCTTGAACTCCTGGGATGACCGTCATGAGGAAGGACGATGAGCCCCACGATCTGAGGCAACTTCTGGTAGGGGACGGCAGGTGACTATATAGGACCACCGGGGAGCGTGGGGGACGGTGGGGGACGGTGGGGAAAGGCTGGCGGTTTAAGGGACGGCAGGGGACGGTGGGTGACTGTGGGTGACGGTAGGGAACTGTCGGTGGATGGTCCTTTACTCTTATGTGTCGGGCAAGTTTAGGAAAAGACCGGACGGGACGACACAATGCAGTCCGTCCTGGTCCTTCATTCCTACTTGTCGGGCATGTTGAGAAAATGACCGGACGGGACGACAAAATGCCGTCCGTCCTGGTCCTGGTCCAGGACCGACGGACTGCCCCGTTGCGAACACTGACAAT